AGGAAAGGAAAGGAAAGGAAAGGAAAGGAAAGGAAAGGAAAGGAAAGGAAAGGAAAGGAAAGGAAAGGAAAAGGAAAAGGAAAAATGGGATTGTTTAATGTCCAGCTGATCATTGGGTGCCCTTGGATTTAATCCCAACACCGAGCCTGGTCTGTAACTCTCAGCAGAGCATTTCTGGAGCTGCAGTTGGAAGCTGGATTTGCAGTCTGGACACGAGTCCTGAGCTGTGCTTTAGCTCCAGAGCTGTTCTGCCTTTTCCCTGCTCTGAGTGACCCCATTCCCTTCAACTCCTGCCTCATGCCAAGGAGGATCCAACCCACACTGGAGCTGCTTCCAGCTGTCCTGCCCTGGAGCCCAGCTCACAACATCTCTGCCCACTCGGGGGAGAGGTTTTATCCAGCACAGAGAGCTGGGAGAAGCCAGAATTCCAGACACTGTCCAGAGCCCAGCAGAGCACTCAGCGGGACTCCAGAAAATAAAGAAAAAAATAGCTGAAGATTTCTATTTTATTGTTTGAAATCCTCCTGGAGTGGGGGCACAAACACAACTCTCTCTGTGACCTTTTCCCATTCATCCACCAAGATTTAGGATTATTTGGGAGTCATCTCCCACCTCGGGATACCTGAACTGAGCCCCAGGTGATCCAAGGGAATCACATTCCTATCTCAAAGCTCTGGATTGGTTTGGGAACTGCCAGTTGAGATTGGCTTTGAACCATAAACCCTTCCCTCCTGCCAAATTTGCGCCCAGGTAAAAGGGGAAATTAAATGCTGAATTAAATTATTTAAATAAGTTTTTGGGGTTGTTTTGGAGGGACACTTTGGAAAAAAAAAGGATTGAAGTGTGGGAAAAGACTCCCAGAAGAAAATCCTGGCTCCAAACTGTCCCAAACCTCCTACAGAGCAAAGAGCAGCCAGTGACAATTCCTGTCAGCACTGAGGGAAGAAAAACCAGGATTGGGAGATTTACCAAGGTCCATTAAAAGCCCTGACAGCAAATTATTTCGGAGCTAATCGCTGAGTGAAGCACACCCAAAGGATTCATGTCTCAGCAAAGTTTGTTTGATGTCTCTGAGATTTCAATGGCCAAGGAGGAACTGGGAACACCAAGGAGGACCTGGAAACATCAAGGAGGACATGGAGTCACCGAGGAGGATGTGTGAGAGAAAGAACCCAACCTAAAAATGAGGTTTCTTAACTTTTTGAAACATCAGAACCTGAAATTAAAAACCCTTTCAGCCGCCGAGTTTGTCGAGACAACCAAGAGGAATAAAAACTTTGGAGATCTTCCCTCCCTGGGGATTTTCATGGTTTAAAATAAAGTGGAAAATCCTTCCCAGCGCTGTGGATGTTCCCTGACCTCCAGCTGATTGCCCACAAACAGAGAATCAAAGCCAAGCCCTGGCTGAAAAATTCGATTTTGGGAGACCTTTGTGAACTCTTCTGGCTCCAGAAGAAGACGAGGAGCAGAGCTGAGGAATGGTGAGGGGTGGGACAAGACATGATCTCATCTGAACCCGCACCAAGGAGAATAGAGGAGCCCGAAAAAAAAATTGTCTGCACTCACCCAGGAGAAGCAGGAATGGCAAAGCTGCTGCCAAAAGTCATCCCAGAGAAATGAAAGGAAGATTAATCAGCTGTTAAATCCCAGAAAAGAGCGGGATCCTGGAGCAAGGAATGGCGAGAACTCTGCTGCCAAGGGTGGGAATAGAAGAGGAACAACAGAGGGACCTGGACAGGGCTGAGATTCCCTGGCCAAGCCCAACATGGAGAAGAGGACAGGGATCCAAAAGATTCCAGGGAGATCCCACGTGATCCAACCAGCAGGAACACTGCAGGGCACAGCTGGGCTTGGAGAAGTGAGAGGCTCCATGGAGCTCCAGAGTATTGCCAGATGTTTTCTAGGATGAGAGGAAAACGGGCACAGATCTGACACAAAGGAGGAGGGAAAAGTAGGAAAAAAAAACAGGGAACAGCTCTTTTGGAGCTTTGCCTTCTTCCTGAAGTGAACTTGGGAAAGTTTTCTTCCCTAGTTTTCCAAGGTGGAAAAGGCTTGGAGCAACCTGGGATAGTGGAAGGTGTCCCTGCCCCTGGAATGAGATGGGATTTAAGGTCCTTTCCAAGCCAACTCATTCTGGCATGGTTCCATGACAAAAACTCCGTGACAAAAACTCCATGACAAAAATTCCATGACAAAAATTCCATGATAACGATTCCATGATAAAATTCCATGATAAAATTCCATGCTGTGTTTGCTACACCCCAGCTCCAATCCACGTTGGATCTGAAGCAGGATGGGCACAAGCCCCGTCATTCCTGCAGGATTTGTGGATGAATCCTGGACAATCCCCTCCAGGGTTTGTGTTCCCTGTGGCCTTTGGGGCTGTGTTCCCACGGGAAAATCCCACAGGAGAGGACCTGTCATCCCAGGTGGACCCAGAGCTTTGGATGGGGACAAACTCCTTGGGAAATGTCCTCAGCTCCTGCTCTGAATCCAAAGGCTAAATTCCAACAGGATCATTCTGTTTGTCCCTCCAGGGCAAATCCCAACCCCAAACTGGGGCTTCTCCTCTCATCTCAGACATCCCACTCTGATTCTTCCTCACTAAAACCCAGGAGGGACGACCCTGGATCTCCAGATACCAGATCCTGATCCAGACACTCCATCAAGAGTTTGGGATCACCCAAAAATGGAATCACACTGTGGCAACCAGATCCTGCTGGGCCTTAGTGGCACTTTTCCCTCTGTGCTGGTGTCAGCATTATCCCAATTTTTGCATGGAATGCTGCTCATGCACAGAAACATCCAGGAAAATCTATTTATGATTTGCAATTCAAAGGATTTTAAAAAAAATATATATTTCTTCCCCCTGCACAGCCCCAATGCCTGAAATTTATATCTACATTTAACAATGGGTTTGATTTACTTAAATCCTAAATAATCCAGTGTTGAATTCATTTCAGTCAGAGCTGCATTTTAGGACAGGGGTTGTGTTTGTTTATAAATAAACTTATGGCTTTTGCTGATTCCTTGAATTTCTGAGGGACTGTCAAATGTTCTCAGTCCTGAGTAATAAACACAAGCAGAGTGAGTCACTGGCTGGGGTTTTTTTGGTATTTTTGCTTTGTGCCAGCAGAGAAATGATAACTC